CTCCCTCCTCCGTCGGTCTGGCGAGAGAAGATGCTGCGTGCAGCGGGGCTCCCCAGGGCTTTCCGGCTGGCTGGGAGCGGCCAGCGGCCAGCCTTGCCTTGGGATCGGGTGCCTCCTGGGAAAGGATCTCTTCCCTCGGACGCCGGCGTGCACAGCTCAGAATCCCACGCCCAGACTCTTGTCTGGCTTCCAGCGGACTCTGCCGTTCGGGCCGCACAGCTTTAGCTCCAGCCTGTCCCTTCGTGGGGACAAGCCACCCCTTCACACTGCCTCAGGCCAAAATTTCCATTTTGGTAGCGGAATGCCATGATCAAACTGCAGCTTTTTCCTGGTTTGTCTTTGTCGTTGTTGGAGCTTTGTGTTTTCTTCCTTTCTTTCTGTTTCCTATGCCCACTCATTCAACATTCTCACCATATCAGGAGCGGCAGAGCTGGGTGCGGTACCCGGGTTGTTGTCACTCGGGCTGTGTGCGGAGGAAATGGCCCCTTCCTGCAGCCTCAGATCGGGTTCCCCGGTCACTGGGAGCTGCCGGGAGAGCTCATGTTCCTAAGTGTCCATCCAGGCAGCTCTGACCCACTTCGGGGGTGATTCCCTGGGAAAAAAATCTACCGACGCAGTGAGGCTGATGCTGCAGGCAGAGCATTGCCCTGTGGGCGCCAGCGCCAGATCCCCATTGGACGGTCTGGCAAGGGACAAAGTTTCGGAGTGTCTGTAAAAAGGGTGATCATGGGGCGGAGGCAGCTGTGGGGCTGGCAGACATCCCAAAGAGGTGCTGGCTGCGCCTGTCCCTACAGGGGATTGCGGGTACTTCAGTGGGGCCATGCAGGGTGACAGCCCCTTGCTGCTCCCATAGGCCCCGTGCTTGGCTAGTATTCCCTGGGGCATTCCCAGTACTGGAGCATGAGGCTGGATGTGCCCAGGCACGGCAGCCAGCCAGTCCTGCTGCAGCCTGTGAATAAGCAGGAGCCACTATCTCCTGGGTTGGTGTGTGGAGCTGCTCCCCGTGGTGAGGTCTTACTGCCACCGATCCCTTGATATTCGGGGGTTTGTCTTCCTCGCACCCCCCTAGTGTGAAGCAGGGCTGAGAGCTGCTGAGGCAGCATTTCCTGACTCTGGCGATGGAGCAGGAGGTCTTTACCAAATGGAAAGAGTGCAAGGCCAGGCGTCAACAGACTGGCGGAGGGCCAGGGCCACTGCTCCTGGCCAGCCCCAGCTCCCAGCCCTGTGCGTGGGGAGCCTGGGAAAGGGAGGGCTCTGGTCCTGCCAGCCTCCTCTTGGCCAGGCGCCAGCCTGCCTGGGGCGACTCGCTCCACTGCCCCCGGCAATGCGCTGTACATCAGCTGAGGGGGCTCCGTGCTTGGCTTCAGGCTGCCCTGTTGCACAGGGCCCTGGGGGTTCCTGCAGGAGAAGCTCCCGGCTCACTCCACCGCCTCTGTAAACAGGAAATCCACAAGCAGCTCCGATCTCCTTTTCGGGAGTGAAGCTGCACAGGGCATTCCTCCCCCTTTACTCACTGCTCTGCAAACCCCAAATACCATCCCTGTGACGGCATGGCTGCTATGGCCACCCTGCCCCAGCAAACTGCCCTGTCCCCTTCCAGGGCAGGAGCTGGAGGTGTGAAGACATGGTGGGGTTGCATATGCCAAGCTGGCACTGCAAGGTTGGGAGAAGCCAGCATCAAACAGCCACTGGGGATGGAGATAACCCTATAGGAGAGGAGAGGGGATGCATGGTCAGGCATGCCATTCCAGTGAACATGGGCTTGTTGCTCAGTGCCAAGGGCTGTTCTGGATGGTAAACAGGAATAATCATTGAAAATGCTTTTTTCAATATATGTATTTGACGTGGGATGACTGAGTGGTTTCTGTTCCCCCAGGCTGAGGCTGAAGTGGCTTCCCTCAACCGCCGTATCCAGCTGGTAGAGGAGGAGCTGGACCGTGCCCAGGAGCGTCTGGCCACTGCCCTGCAGAAGCTGGAGGAAGCTGAGAAGGCGGCTGATGAGAGCGAGAGGTGGGATGGAAAGGGACAGTGGGAATGGTATCAGGTCACCATTGGTTGCAGACAGTCCCCTTAGTTTTGCAGTGGAGTCCCTTATTGTGGTTTCTGTTGGCTTTCTTGCAGACTTCAAAGGGAGAGAGCAAAGCCACAATGCAAAGAAGTCCCCCAGATACAGACACTGTTATCCAGAGCGCACATAAAATCCTGAAAATTTTTATCTGGTATTTATAAAAGCACCAGACTGTAACCAGAGACAGAGAAAGATATGAGCATGTTTTATGCCCCAGAGCAGCTTTCTATGCTCAAAGACACAATAACAGCCCAAGAGGGAACCTCTGTACTAGTAACTGAGGTCAGATTTGAGGACAAGACAGCCTCATTCAAAAAAAAGTTCTACAAAGTGTATGTTTCCCTATCCTCATGGCAAACAGGTTTCCAAGACTGGAGCTGTGCATGCAAGGGCACTCAGGCTGTATGGGAGTGCCCAGTGTCACAGTGTTCTTGACAGTTACATGAGCTCTTCCCTCCATTGGCAAAGATCAGTTTGAGCAACAGCATCTGAGTGAGAGGAGAAGAGTCTGCAGGAGTCCTTTCTGTGGGGGTTTGGTAATCCCATTTGTGAGCATCACCCCAACTGAGAAAGGCTTTGCCACAGGATGTTTTCCAGTATTTCCTAAGGGCTGGTGCCTGTCAGGCTGTTTTTGTGGAGGTTGTGGCAGCCTCATCCTGGGCTGCACACCTTTTCACCCCCCAAATACAGGTTCAGCCCCTGTCTGCTTGAGGTTCACCACAGACATACATCACACTGGAACATAGCCCTGCGGCCAGCTCCACTTTGCATTTTTGGGGTACTGGTGGTGTGATCTTACTGTGTGCCCTCCTCCCCAAGCAATGTCCTGTGTCTCTGAAGCTAGAGGGTGGTGTGGTTAGGGTACAGGATGTGCAGATCCTTGACCCACAGCAATAACATCTCCTGGCATGGTCTTTCCTCAGAGGCATGAAGGTCATTGAAAACAGGGCCATGAAAGATGAAGAGAAGATGGAACTCCAGGAAATGCAGCTGAAGGAGGCGAAGCACATAGCAGAGGAGGCTGACCGCAAATATGAGGAGGTGTGTACCCCCTTCCCCAGTGCTGACACCCTGGCAGCACCCAGAGCCATCTCCTCATAGCCCTGTGCCCCAAGCTGGGTAAGCACAAGGGCTAACATAGGTCACTTGCTGCCATCAACAGGTTGCCCGCAAGCTGGTTGTCCTTGAGGGAGAGCTGGAGCGCTCAGAGGAGAGGGCAGAGGTGGCAGAGAGGTGAGCAGGGCTTCTGGTGGGTAGCGTGCAAGGGTCCCACACAGCCCTTGCCCCAAATCCCTGACAGACCTGGGGATGGGGATGTCCGTCCCTGGAAGCAGCAGGGTCTGTCACTGGGGTGGTCTTTGGGGTTTCAGGCTGGGGGTAGGGGTGTGCCAACCCACCGGCATCACATCCTTGACCCTGTTCTCTGCTGTCCCCCTCCCGGGGTGCCCCTCTTCCACCCCAGCCGAGTGAGACAGTTGGAAGAAGAGCTGCGGACCATGGACCAGTCTCTCAAATCCCTCATTGCCTCAGAGGAAGAGGTACTGGGGCAGGGGCGTGGGGCAATTTGCAGCAGCCCCCTCTCTCTGTTGCTGTCTCTCCAACCATGCAAGCCACCTTTCTCCTTTCTGCACCACTGCCTCCACCACCGGCCTCTCCTCACCTCCCTCTCCAGCAGGTGCAGGCTGGGCACGCTCCTCCATCCCTCCATCCCTGCTTCCCTTGGCGGGGCCAGCGAGAGCTTGGCTGTTAGTGATGCACGAGATATCCGTGCAAGCAAGCACAAGGAACGGATGAACAGATGCGTCCCAGCAGCTCCTGTTCGCAGTGGCTCTGCTCCTGGTCCACCTGCACTGAGTTTTCTCCTCTCTCAACTTGTTTTCTCTCTTTCTTTCCTGCTTCCCCGTGCCTGTTCTTTCTGCTCCTGCCTCTCTCCTGCCCTCTGGCCCCACTCCCCCACTCCTGCCGGCCTTGCTTGGGATGTAGTAAATGTGGTGACCTAGAGGAGGAGCTGAAAATTGTCACCAACAACTTGAAGTCCCTGGAGGCCCAGGCTGACAAGGTAGGACCCAGTGAGGCTGCTGGGGTTGGGAAGAGGGCATGGGGTCTGGGAATGTTGAGATCTCCTGCTGGGGTGAAGGACAGCTGGAGGCATGCCTTGGGACTCACAGATGCTTGTCTCTGTCTCTACAGTATTCCACCAAGGAGGATAAGTATGAGGAGGAAATCAAGCTTCTAGGGGAAAAGCTGAAGGAGGTAAGGGGTGTAGAGCTGCCACTGAATCAGTGAAGGCATGAGCTTACCATCCTGAGTGGGTTCTGACCCCATTATGCCTTTGTCCTCTCACAGTTCCCTAAATTGCAGCCCTGCATCATAGCAGGTATCTGGGTTTGGGATTACCTTAATTAGTCTGTTCTGATTTAGGGTGTGAGGCTCCATGGAGCCCTAGTCACTTCTTGTCCCTTGCCTTTCCCATGAGAGGGCTTCTGGAGAAGGGTACCAGAGATGGGGTAGATTTGGAGTGCAGTCCAGCCTGCACCTCCCGTTGTGTCCTGCAGCTCACCCTTTCCCCACTGTGCTTCCCACAGGCTGAGACCCGAGCGGAGTTTGCAGAGAGGTCTGTGGCGAAGCTGGAGAAAACCATTGATGACCTAGAAGGTAAAGTGTCTCCACCAGCCCCGTGTCCCTCTTTCCTGGGGCAGCACTGGACACACCATGCCCCTGGTGGGGCTGGACAGTTCTTGGCACAAGGGAGGGGATGGGCTGGAGTTCTGGGAGTGGAAAGGCTAAATGCTGCACAGGAGCACAGAGCTCCTGGGGTCTGGACCCTGCCATCGGGTGGGGAATAGGGTCACATCTGTGCTGCCTGTGCCCACACACCCCTGCTGCCCTCAGCCCGCTGCTCACAGCCACTCTTTCTCTCCACTTTGTGTCCTCCACTCTATTTCACCATCTGCTCCCTGCCTGCCCCCACCTGCAGATGAAGTGTATGCGCAGAAGATGAAGTACAAAGCCATCAGCGAGGAGCTGGACAATGCACTTAATGACATCACCTCCCTCTGAGCCCCACACTGGGCACCAGCACTGCACCCGCTCCCTGCCTGTCTTCTCCCCAGCTCAGCTGTTTGCCTGCCTGGCCGTCCCACTTCTCTCCCTACCCTCTCTGTCCTCCTCTGTCCTACCTAGCCTGTGCCTGTCCATCAGTTCCTTTGGGACAGGAGCTGACCCGGGGTGTTCCCGCTGTACCCCTCTTTGGGGAGACAAGATGTAGGTGCTTAGAGCTGTTTGTTCAGGGCAGGAGAGCAGCCCCACATACTGACTGGACAGTGTAGTTGTAGGCCCATGCCACAGCATTGCCCTGGGGATCAGGACTGTGCCCAGAAGCCCTTTGTTCCAGCAGCTCCCTCCTTGGCTCCCCAGCCGCAGAAGCACTGGGGACCCTGCAGCTCCGGGGCTGGGGGGCCATTTCCCCCCACATATACTTCGAGCAAAGTCCCCCGGTGCTGCTCGCTGGCCCCAGCATGGGGATGACCTGCACTGGGGAAGCGGCACCTCCACTGCCAAAGCTCAGGCCTGGGGGATAGAGGGTTGGATCCAGCTGTGCAGACACCTTGTTCCCCGGCAGGCAGGCAACCCCCACTCCTCCCTCACCCTTCTGTCCTTTGCACATTGCTCTTCAGTTTGCATCTCATGACTTTTCTTTTGTGTTCTGTCCCTCTGGGTTAATGAGTTGATATCAATAAAATTTTAACATTGGTTTCTCCTTTGTTTTCTTCATGTCACTCTGTCCCTCATCTCCTGCCTGTCTCATGTGGGTACTGTCAGCGGTGTGGTAGGAGGTGGTTGCAGGCAGCTCACAGCCATGGGCCTCTGGGCTGACCATGGCTGAGACCCAAGAGGCTCCCGCGCTGCCAGGCTGAGTGGGACTGGGTCATTGTGCTGACCACAGCCACCCTCTGATTCTTGTACACAGCTTTCCTCATCTCATGCCATCTTCTCCATGAGTCTTTTGGCATGAAATGTCAGGGTTAGACCTGGTCCTGTCCATTCCTTGTCTCCACTCCCAGATATTGCCTACATGCAGCAATCTCAGCCCTGTCATAGCTCCTGCATCACCTTACCTTGGTGAAGAGGCTGGTACTACCCTTCAGCAGTGATCTCTTGTGATCCCTAAATTGGTCCTTATCCACCTCCTCCTTCCTCACCACCCTACCATGTCTCAGAACCCAGTTTTCAAACTGATGGACCTACAGCCTTGTCCCTGCACCAAGACTGGCTGTCTCCTGCCAGTGCAGCTGTATCCCACCACTGGCTGGGTGGCTTTTGGTCTTTCCAGAGAAGGCTTTCAGAAATGCTGTCTCTTTTCACTAACTCACTTTTTTCTCTCTCTTTCCTGTGCTGCGTTGATGTCTCCATTTTCTCTAGAGCGCTCTCAGCGGGAGGCCGAGAAAAACCGTGTTCTCACTAACGAGCTGCGGGTCATCCTTACTGAACTTAACAACTGAGCTGCCCAGAGCTCCTGGCCCCGGCCCAGCCTCCCTGCCCCATTTTGGCCAGGCTGGCTCTGGGCTGGGAGCCCCTCCCTACCTAGGGTGAGGCAGGGTGTGAAGCCTTGCCTTATCCTCATAGGGATAACTACCCTGCTTGGGCAGGACAGGGAGCCCCTCTGGAGTTGATCAGTCTTGTGAGAGAAATATGAAGGGTTTTTTGATGTCCTGGGATTCCCACATAGTGATGGCTGTCCTCTGGCATCATCCTGGCTCTGCTGGGGAGGGATGCAGAGGTTTGTATTGCTGCCTTTCTCCCCTTGTCCCAGGAGTCACTGGGCAGCCTCTTCTTCCTCACTCTGGTCACTCCAAACTGTGCAGGGAGGATCCCCTTAGAAAGAGGTCCTTGGAGGGTGTTGGGAAGGCTGAGGAAGAAGCTGGGGATCCAGCAGCACCTGCTGCCCCGAACTTGGGACAGGGAAGAGGCTAGCAGGGCACACTGCAAGATGGGGCTGGGTGGACAGCAGTCTTGTTCCATCCCCATCTCTGGGGGAAGTAGGATGCCATTTTGAAGTGCACACCAGAGGGAGGCTGCCTTGGCAGCAGGCTGCCTGGCAGAGCTTATCCTTGTAGCCTTGTTAGCTCTGCTCCTTATCTCTCTGTTGTCCTCTGCCCACTCTCCTGGGCTGTTAATGGGCTGTTTTCTCACTCCTTTTCTTCATGGAGCACTGCTGGGTCATGCAGCAGGCACTGGTTCTCCGCTTCTGCTGGCCAAGGTTTTGTGCACGTGCCCACAGCTGGCCAGTGGTGATGCCCCAGTGCCTGGCCAAATAATGGTACTCACCAGCGGCACCTAAGCTGCAGAGTGCTCAGCCATGGGCAGTGGGGTATCCTGGGAAGATGGAAATGCTGAAGAGTGGTAACTGCCTGTGCCAGTGACCAGCCTGACTGGCCTGGCTTCCCTGGCAGGTCCCAGGGTGGCTGGACTCATCCCTGCCAGAAGTGGGGCTACTTGTGGGGACTACACTCCACAGGGGACGCCCCGTTTGACTGGAGGCCATTGCTGTACTGAAATGTCCATCTGTGTGTGTGTGTCTGTGCTTGGTGTGGTGTGTGTGGGTCCTGCTGCACCTGGGTACATTTGGGTTGTGTCTGTGTGTGTGGCTGGGTGTCCCTTGTGTTCACAGAGAGCCTGGCCAGTGCCAAAGAGGAGAACGTGGGGATACACCAGGTCCTGGACCAGACCTTACTGGAGCTGAACAACCTCTGAGCTGCCCTCGCAAGCCCCTATCCCTTTTCCCTACCTTACACATGCACCCCACTGGCATGCTCAAGATGTCATCCTCAGCTGAACTGCATCTTGGCCAAACCCACACCTCCATTGAGAAGGGAAGCTCAGCAGCCTTGCACTGTTGCTCAAGGGGATCTTGTTTGTGCACAGCCTAAACGGCTCTGTCCTGTCTTTATGTCCAAATATTAAAGCAGTTTGAGAAGATGGATGTCTGTGTTTGGTCCTTTGGGCGGATACTGGGAGAGGGTGTGTGTGTCTCCCTCCTCAGTTCATGCATGGAGGGTCTGCAGGACCTCTGAGGCTGTGGTGGGCTTGGAATGATAACCACATGGTTTGGACTGTGTCCTCTCATCTCCATCATGTCCTTGGAATGTAAAGGAAACCTCCAGGTCTCAAGCTTAATCCAAACTCATCATCCTCTTCAAGTACACAGTGATAAAACATGTCACTGGTGTGTCCCCTTCCACAGTCTGCGTGCTACTGGCTTGGCAGCTAGGGAAGCCAAAAAGTCCTTGATGTTTCCATGGAAGGTTCATGTTTATGACAATGAGGAAACACAGAAGCACATGATCATGCATGCACACATTATTAGTTGTCAGGGTCTTCTCCAGATATGGGATTAGCTGCTCATCCTTTGTACTAGGTGCAATTTCTATTGCCAGTGACTGAATGCCTGCTGTAAAAGCTAGCAAATATTAATGCAGCTGACAAAGTGCTCAGGAAGTTTCTTCCTGGCTTGCTGTATTTTCTCCAACGCAAACTGAAGAGCAGCCGGATGTGTCTCATTGCTGTTACCAAAATGGGCTGGATTTCCTGGGGATGCCCAAAGCCATTATCTAGTCCTGCCCTCCACTTCGGGGCCCTCCATGATGTGGACCAAGCCCTGTTGTCCCACGCTACCCAGCGGATATCCCTCTAAAAGCACATCCACATACTGCCAGGAAACACAATTCATGCTGACCCCTTGTCGAGCCAGACCCAGCAAGAGACCGACAGGGATAGCTTTTGTTATCTGCTTTCCTTTATTTGCTGTGCCTCTCGGGTCAGGAAAAGGAGGGTGTTGAGATTGCATCTCTTTCCTGCCCAGGTGCTGCTGGCCTCCCGCCCCCTCTGTGGCCCAGCAATTCTGTTTTGTGGTTCTAAGACCTTCTACAGCAGGGAAAAAATGCTCCCCGTGCATGCAGTGCTCATCTTCAGTTCATCCTCCCGAAGTTGCAAAGTCTGCTGTGAGCTGCAGCCTCCCACCCTGGGCCTGGAGGAGCTGGATAGGAGGATAGTACATGGTGTCTTGGGCTGCTGAGCTGTCCCTGTGCAAGGGCTGGAGCTCCTCCTTGGGCCCGCCTTCCTCTTCTGCAGTGCATCAGCTGAGCCGTTCTGTTGTTTAATCAAAGCACCTTCCAGGCAGGGGCCTGCGAAAGGAACCAGCGTGTATAAGCACCTCTTCTCTGAAGCCTGCACTGCAAACAAGCCTGCCCTGTGCCCCGGTCAGGGTGCGTCCCAGTGCCCAGCCTCTGGGCGTCCTTCGCCTTCCTGCAGGGACAAAGAGCCCTTTCACACCCACTGTTTTTTCCCCATTAGCTGCTGCTGCCTCCTGGTTTGGACCAGTCCAATTGACTTAACTGTTTACACCTCACTGCAAGGGACTTTATATTCCTTTGAACTGCCTGTGACTTGGCAGTGAGATCCTGACTGCTGTTCCCAGGTGATGCTCAGCCTGAGAAAGACATGAGCTATGTCATGGTTCAGCAAAGCTTTGCATTTCCTCCATTCTTCTACCCATCTCCTTTCCCCTGATCCCCCACAGAGAAATAGGTAGGCCAGGGAAAGCTCTGGGAGCATGGTGGAACTGCTAGCATGGGTGCGTGTTTCCCCACAGGTGTCACAGACCTACGCTGGGGACTGAAGTGCCTGTGCCCTCCTCCCTTCCTCTCTCTCCACCTCTCACATGGAATTTCAACCTTTGGATTTATTTATTTTGGCCTGGCAGACTGAAGATCTCCCCAGAGAGCTTTCAGCCCTGCTGTTGGTTGCCACCCCATTGATGTATCAGCACATTAACTTCCAGCAACCTCTCACCTCTGCTCTCTACTCCAGTTTTCTCATCTCTCCTGTGCCTCATTTCATCTCTGAATCCTTCCTGTTCAATGCCCTTGAATTACATGCTGGAGTGGGAGGACCACACAAAGAGCATCTGAGATATTTTTGATGAGACATGTCAAGCTGTGCAGAGCCAGGCACAGACTACTGCCACCCCTCAGCCTCTCCCTGCATCTACAGCTTGAGGCACTGGCGTGAGGGCCAGAAAAACTGTATTGCCAAGTTGGGGGGGTTTTGCAAGACTCTGGGGGATTTCAAAACAGGTCAGGCCCCCTAAAGCCAAGTGCCACACAAATCTCCCAGCCCCCAAATCGATATTACTGACTTGTCAATGCCAGCAGAGGACAAGACAGCTGGAGGGAAGCATGGATAGCCATGAACACGAGGTGTCACCTCAATTTTGTATAAGCATGCCCCATATGCAGTGCTTGGGGCTGTACTGCCTGTGAGAGTGAAGTCTACAGTACAGGAGGACATGTGGCCCCTGCTCCACTTTCTCAGGGGATCTGGGACCAGCACTGGAGCATCTCTACTGCGAGGCAGGCCTACAACAGGGTGATAGGCAGAAAGGGAGTCTTGCGGACAATTCATTGCATTGGTTTAGCAGCTGCTGGTCACAAGGTTGATTTATTGCCTTACAGAGCCAAAGGAAATACAAAGTACTTGTTATCAGGGTTCTGTTATGTGATGTCTTTCTCGCCAGGATATCTTCCCTATGTTGATGTTTATTGTCTCTGGGGATTGGGCTAGGATCATCATTTTGGTGAACTTCATGGTATTGCCTTAGGAGATGATAAAATCACTGGTCTTGATTCTATCACGCTGGTCCATGCTTCAGGTGCTAGGCAGGTCCTGCTTTAGAATCACAGAATAGCCAGAGTCAGAAGGGATCTCTAAAGATCATTGCCACAATGAGGAGGGGTGCTCAATTACATCATGTTACTCACAGCCCCATCCAGCCTTAGCTTGAATGTTTCCATTGGTGATGAGTTTATCACAAAGTTCTGAGATCATTTGAGATCTGAGATCAGGCCATTGTCCTCCTTGCTGCGGGAGCTCTCCTGCTCCCTGCAGCTGGCAGAGGCATGCTTCCTTTGCCTGTCCAGCCAGCAGCCCACAGTGACCAGGACCCGGGCTGCTATGGCACTGCAGAAAGCAGTGGGGCTTCCATGGTGCCCTTCTTCCCCTCTATCACCTGCAGCAGCCAAGTGATGACGATGGTATCATGATGCAGATATTCTTCACACTCTTCTATCTGTTTGGCTGTGTCCATGTTGTCCTGGTCATTGTGAGGCAGTCTGGGCTAGATGGTCAGCAGAGCCAGGAAGAACACAAGTCTTGAAGCCAAGGCCTGGTGGGTGGAAAGGTGAATCTGTGTGGCAGGGAACAGGGGGCTGGGGACACCCAGGATGTCCTTAAAGCCTCTCTGGGCACCTGCCACCACTGAGAGCCCCGAGCTCCTCTTCCTTCAGACCCAAGCATGGCTCTGTGCCCTGTCCCACCCTGAGGCGCTCACTTTTCTTCTTGTTAGAAACGCCCTAGACATTGCCCCCATCCCTATCCAGCCCAGCATTCCTTTGCATGCATACTCACTGATCACCAGAATCCAGGTGTGGTGGGGTTGGAGCTGCCTGGTGATGTTCCTGGTGATACCTCCTGCTGTGACCCTCTCCTCCCCAGTGTCCCAGACACCAGAGCCACATCTCCCAGCTGCTAAGCCCCAGCCTTCATCTCCACCCCTCAGTGGGTCCTGGCTGTCCTGACCCAGGAGCAAGCTCCCAGAGGCTCTCTTGGCCAAGTGGGCAGAACCTCTGGAACTGTACCTGAAAGTAACACAGGGATTGTAAGTGGATGTCCCTGGCTTACAGAGTGAGATGTGACTTTCTCTGGTCCAGGTGGGCTGACTCTGACCTGTTTTGCAAAGAAGTTAGGAAATCTTAGGCAGGGACAAAATTTCCCTCTCCCCTCTGGGATCCCTTGTGCTGAGGCACAACTTGGCCTTGTAAACCCTGGTGATCAAGCCAAATGTCAGTCATGTCCCTGGAACAAGTGGAAAAGATCCTGTGATTCCCTCTTCCAGCTACCAACTTGCTGGCTGCGAGGGCAAACCCATGAGCTGGTGGGGAAATACCAGAACCCACATCTTACTGCTCCCCTGGGATTTCCCTGGTTCAGGAGCCCATTGTAGTCCATACTAGAGTGCTCTGCTGTGAATTGTGCCTCTCAGAAACAGGGCCTGTTTTCCAAGACTTAACAAAACCCAGACCCCTCAAAAGCCTTCTCTGACCTTGCTGCACGTGCCAAAACTGGCATGGGCACGGTGCTTCTGCCAGTTCATCAGGTGCTGAACTCCACATCCAGCGCTCCTGTCCAGAGTCTTCTGGAGGTGGAAAGGGCGTGTGTCGGGGTGTGGGTGTCTCTAAGTGGGAAGCGCCCTGAAGTGCCTTTCTGTGTCAATCTCGTTGAAAGGGCATTGGACTGGAGGTGCCAAGTGGAGCGAACACAGAACCACTGAGGGCGGGACAGCCTGCATACTTCACCCAGCCCCTGCTCCTGGAAGGCCGCGCAAGGCCCCACTCACGGGGTGGCCGAGGGGAAGAGGCCAAGCTGCGTCCCCACAGGACCACGGGACATGCCAAGCTGAAGAGACCCACAGGGATCATCGAGTCCAGCTCCTGCACAGGACCCCCAAGGGTCACATCGTGTGCCTGAGAGCCTTCACCAAACGCTTCCGGAGCTCTGCCAGGCTGACGCTGCGACCTCTTCTCTGTGGAGCCCGCCCCGCTCCGCCTGTGCCCTTCCCGATATCCCAC